ATATTTTAAGACACTGAATCGCTGGCTGTGATGTGCAGCAGTGTACGTACGCCGCGTAGCGTGCCAGACATTGGCCGTGCAAGCCTATAGAATGCCCCACTTGCGACATAAATTTCTGAGGCTTATCGTGCGCATCGTGCGTATCCACAATTATTCCCATCGTAAACATAGTCACTGGGATCTGAAATGCATACATACAGGATAATTTCCCTTCTTCAGCGGGAGTTTTGTTTATGTTTTGATCGTACACGTCAAACTGCCACGCTGGTCTACGCTGCGCGCTGGTCTCGGCTGCACTTCCGGGTACCGGTTCCATAAATCGACACCATAAATCGACAAAGAAACAAATATTTCCCCCCAAATTTATATTAATTGTGCACTTTTTCACTAGATGTGGCTATGCAGTCCTGGAAAACAGCGTTTAGTGCATATTTTCAAACAGAAAAATCGCGTCCCCGCGCCCTTCATGTGGCCGCCCGGCGATCTCAGCTGAAGCGAACAACCAATCAGAGACGCGTAACGCGGATACGTCATGTTTGCATACCACCCACCCACCGCTTCTGCTGGCTGCTGCCATGCTAGCTACGCGCCGTACTTGCCGTATTTCTGGAAATAAATGCCGCGACACGAAGATCTAGCGCTGACTCGGCTTGCACCCAGCGTTCAGCGTCACCCGCGCCATTACCCCCGCCGTCATTGCTGCGCCGTCACCCAACGTTTTTATCGGAACCAGACACCCCTCTGTTTGACCCCTTTTAAATGGTAAGACCCAAAACTGAAACCTCCCCATTCCTTAACAACATGGTAAATTCCATTTTCAGCATGGCGGGGGTGTCCGGAGCACTTAAAAAACCTTTTATTTCCACGCCCATAAACACATATACAATTAAACAAAAACGTTCTGCATCATCTGCAGCCCAACAGCAATACGTATACCGAACCACAGACCAATCCGTCCAGCCGATCGCGAGAAACAGCTGCTGACAGAAATGTTTCGAACAATAGTAAAACCTCCTCGCGGAAGGATATCTCCTTCCCCGGAGGTAAAAATTAATCAATAAAAGTATCACAATTTTGAGTTTTATCCGATTGTTTCATCGTACTGGCTTTTCGAACAGCCGTCCAACATACTAGTATTCAGAAAAAGTATATTGTCATAACATAATAAGAAAACAAGTTCAACGATATCAAAACCTACCATGAAAATTAAGTACCCCTTATGTTTTTGTAGACACACCTACCTTGTGAAACAGTTGATTGAACAACAAAAGAACCTAACCTTTAAACCTCTATCAATTACGTGCTGCCGATCTGTGATCATTGTGAGTTGAAGCATAACGCGTGTGTACTGCTGTAGTCTGGTCCCAGCCTGGCCGATCTTGTGCTGTTCAACGTGTTTAAGACCTCGAATCAGGGACACACTGACTACGAACTGTGCTTTACAGGACAGAGGTAAGGGGAACTCTGGTTATGTATGATTTGCAGGGTGTACAATCTGTGACCACCACTCTGTAAAGCCATGTTATGTCTGGGTGGCACTCGGGGCTATGAAATACTGTCGAAATGTTTAACGTTTTAGTTTTATACACACTGTTACTAACGCTAATTAACGTACTCTAGGGTTGCTTTTGAAGTTTCCGAAAATTGTGTTGAATCGCGTTATAACATACTAACATCAGATACGAGAAAGGTCTTCTCATGTAAAGCCACGATGTCATGGTCTAGTGGGGCGAGTGAACTGTATTAACAATGTTTTTTTTTACCATTTTCGCATGCGCGAAAATGGTAACTCAGACCAGATTGAGATTGGATGGTTCGACGGTTCGACGGTTCCACCCTTCAACGGCCATGCAGACATGCTAAGTCACCGCATGTCGCTAGATGTCGTTGTTGCGACGGCCATGCAGACATGCTGAGTTGCCGCATGTCGCTAGATGTCGTTGTTGCGAGTGCACTTTTTACCATTTATGCCTTGGACGTTTGTATACTTTCCATTATGGTTGCTAATTTCAAAATCATAGTTCTATTAATGTTGCATAACAAAGCTGCTGACAAAACAAACTTAATTTGTCTTGAACAATAACTTGATTTTATTATTTGCCAAAAATGTTGATAAAGACACATAGACACAAGTCTATAATCACAGTAATCAAGGATTTTAATAAACTCCATAAATTATGTCAATGAGCATTAGCAGTGTGGATTAGTCTAGATGTTCAGATTTCCATTAGCCGGCAGTCC